TAGGGTTCATGGCATACAACCATAAATCAATAATACATCATAAATACATAACTCTTAAGTTTTTGATCCCTAAATATAAATATTATGTATCGAACCACATATATATGTCTCTTCTTATTTCCTTTATTTTGTTCTCTCTCTCCTACTCTAATTCTTCTACACATTACTCGAAGAAAACATTAGCAATCTGGGATTCTAGAGTACCCATGACAGTATGACCTGTCAGTGGCACGTTTTGGATAACATAAATCATAAAGTGGACAAGGGTTGTGCACAGCGACACTGAACATGGTGTGTCTGTTTACTAGTCACATTGATATAGTCTGGAGGTGATTTCCCGAAAAGAGATTTAGATGTGATTCTTGACTTTCAGTCTCAACCACCATTACCTTCTTAATTAGGATAAGTTTACGGTACCATCGTCACATTATCGTGATCGTAAATGATCTGTAGACATTTATTTTGATTTGAATAATTTATAATTATTTATTAAAAAGATATGAAGTAATCAAAAATAATAAAACATTTTTTTTGTACATGTCGAGTTATTATTAAATAAAAAATAGAAGTATAATATAAAAAAAATTTAATTTTTAATACTATAGTTGGACCTTATAAACTAAAAGCCAACAAGCTGGGTACTAACAAAATTCTATATGCATATATCGTGCTCCTTTTTTTAATTGATTCAACGGTCAGGAGTATTTAGATTAATTTATACGTACTTCAATTAATCCCTTCCTCGATCTGATCAAAAACAAATCATTCATATTGGAATTAAGATATTTATGAGGGATAAATCCCACACGGTCTGACTTCAAAAAATTATCAAGATTCGAATGCCTGAATTTACAGTTCGTCCTTATTACACTTCTCGACAAACTTTGTCCATTAAAAACTCTTTTTCCATCACATTATGTTGTTCAATGACATGAACATCATAATTATCTATAAAAGTACATACGGTGAAATTAACATGAAATTAGTAAATTTTAGTTTAATTTTATTAGGCTCATGTGTTAAAATGGGTGAAATGAGTCAATATGAATTCAGATAAATACGATATGAACTCGTTTAACATGATTTATGCATATCCCGAATTTGACACGATATAAATATGATTATGCAAAATTAAAAATAAGTTAAACATAAATTAAATAAATTTTACACGATACGATTTATTGGATCCCTAATGGACCAAAGTCAAGATCTAGTGTTATGAACTCACAAAAAGTTGAGGCGTCTGACCACAGCACCGTTCTTTCCCATGGATTTTAGCCTGAGAGGGTGGTTTCACGTTTACTTATATATGTCCCACTGGCCACTTGGCAAGACTCTATCTTACGTTATGCTTCCATTCATTCCAAGAAAGAAGAAGTGTCTTTAATATGTCAAAGTTGTGAGTTGCGACCGAACCACTAATATATAATTTTTTTATTTAATCATGAAAAATATTCGAATCAATTTATATCTACTTTGATTATTTTTTTTTTTTTTGGGTCTGATTTTTCCACATTGAGCTTGGTCTTAAAAATTTGTTAAAATTCAAATTCAAAACTTCTGAATTTATAGTTTGTCCCTATCAACAAAATGGAGAGACAATGACCTATTTGGTTTGTATTTCATAAATTATTTTTCTGTTTTTGGAAACAGTTTTTGGGAGAAAAAATGTTTAGTTAACTATTTTTTTTTTTTTTTAAATTGAGAATAAAAAATTGATAGATTTAGAAAACAAGTTATGAATGTTTTACATGTTTTTAGAAACAATTTTTCTAGAATTTAGAAAACACCACCACTATTACTACTACTACTACGCTCCCACCAACATCACCACATTTCAACCACTACCATATTTCTATTTTTATTATTTTCTAGTTTCTTGTCCAAACAAAATAAGTTTTATTATTTTTTATTTTATAAAACTGTTTTTGAAATCATATAATCAAACAAATTTTGTTATATAAAAAAATACAAATACATTTTTCTAAAAATATTTCCCAAAATATTTTTTTAAAAATACTATTTTTTGAAATGAATTAGGTAAAGGTAATAGACAGAAAGAAAGAAATAGAAGACGAGAGATGATAGAGGTCTCCGCAGGGTGTTTGGTATTTAATTGGGTTTTCACTTTCCGCAATTATTGAACCATGTTCTTCCACAAACGTCAAATTACTACTGCACATGATATGGAGGAAACAACTCCTATTTTGTATACCCTTATATCATCACATCATGTGATAATTTTTTTATTTTTTATTTTTGAAAAAAATCTTGTAATAGATAACAACATAGTTTGGCCGAGAGGCCTCCAATATTTCATCCTCTATTTTTTAAATATTTACTTATTTATTTATTTTTTAAAAAAATACTTAACCATTGACAATTGATAGTTTTTAAGTTTTGTTAGATAACCTATTTTCTTTCATAGAGTACTTAAAAAACTATGAACTCACATTTCACCTTAACTTTCTCAATATCGTTTTTATCTTCATCTTCCAAAAAAAATAAATTTATTAATTAAAGAATTAGAATGTCTAATTCTCCTTATTTTTCATGTTTAAAAATTTTAATTTTTACATGGATACATATAATCATTTGCCGATACTACTAGCGTCAGGTAAATGCGAATGTTTTTAAAAAAAAAATAATGGTTTGAACACCAACTTTGATCATCATCTCACTTACACCATCTTACGTGACACGATCACAACCATTGAATATTTAATAAATTTTATTAATCTAATGGTATATATTAAAATAATGTATAAAGATGGTATACGAAGATAATGTGTGCAACATTATTAAAGAAATCAAGTTTTGATAAGTATAGATAATCATGGAAACATCACAATTAAGCAGTCGAGACCCAATGATTAGATTTGAAGTAAGAAGGCGAATTCCACTGCTAAAGGATTGTGGTCCTATTTTGACTTGATGAACATATTGAACGATGTAAATAATTGAAGTGATAATTTAAATATTTTGAATTTAAATTTTAGCAATTGTTGGGGTCAGGTTATGAGAGATTTATCTCTCATGAATATCCTAGTTCCAACGTGAATGACTTGTCTTTAACCGAATTCAATAAAAATTAATCGAAATGTGTATAAATTGGCTTGAGACTTATTAGATTAACGGGTTCTATTCACTTTTTCCTACCGAGACTCTTTGATTCAAAGGTCCCTGTCCACAATGTATTATCCAAAAACCAAAATGAATGAATGGAACAGGGGCCACATAAAAAAAGAAAGAATGGCAAGCCTAACCAACAAATTAATAAGCATGTCCGGTGGGAGACACAGAATTAGGCAGCCCATCGCTAATCACGTGGTTGGGTTGTATTCATTTATTTGCACTTTCCCAACTAGATCTAGGTTTATGTTAATTCAGGAATCATTTTTGTGCATGACCATAACCTTATCCAGTAGTATCAATCATCATTTCCCCCAAATGAACGGTTTCTTTACTTGGGTTTGAGAAAATAAGAATAACGGGGTGTACAAAGTATTAAGGGTGCGAATTTTGAATTTAAACAGTAAGGATTGCAGTAACCTTACTGGTTATAGTTGATACACATATCAAGTTTTGCATAGACTTATGTTAAATATGTGATATACTAGTCACTCAACTTTATTTTCTATTTACCACTAGCGCAAAGGATAGAACAACGTTGTCATAGTACAGAGAAAATATCGCTCTAGAATCATGTCAAATATAAAGATAGTGCTACGTACACATCTTTTCTCCCAACAAATTTGATAGAAACATCAAAGAGGACAACGTCGGTAATGTATGATTGTACAAAGTTTTGGTATGTAATATGTTTCCAGCACGGACAATATACACTTCACATTGTTTGGAAATAAAAAGAATTGAACCATGTCATCGTCCAATAAAGATCCAGAACCTTTTTTTTCTTAATTCCTCCTCATAGTCTTGTCACATGTGCACCATTCACATCTCGTTTCATTGTTCTTGGGGGTTGGGCAAATGTCAATTGTTCTTTAAACGGACACCTTTGAATGTTCAAACAAGATAAAATTTTAACCACATTACATCATTTAATGTGGTAGATATATTTCTCAAATATGATAAAACTATTTATTGAAAATTTTAATTTGTATTATGTAATTTAAAATAAAATAATAACAATTAAAAACGAAACAATAAAACATAAACTACAATAAATAAACTAACTAGTTTACAAATCAGGAACTGTGATTGAATTTTATAGATCAATGATAGTATTTGACACTATATCCTTAAGATAGATTTTTTCCCCATACTTGGTGCTAAAATAGCATGAACTAAATACGACACGTCACAATGAATATGATACAAGACAAATCAATTGTCAAGCTTAACAGCCAATGGACCAAATAATGAATAACCTTTATGATGTACAACAATGGTCATTTTCTTAAAAATTGAAAGTTTGAAATGATACATAACGCTAGTCTAATATCTCAACCAAATAATAGTATTGTCATTATATTTCGAGTTGTACATCACAGTCTGGTTGCCAAAAATGGCTGGTCCTAACCAATTTGGGCCACTGTCCTACACTCCTACTGATAAAGCATTGGGCATTGTCATGCCATACCTTCTCCTTTCCCTGGAGAATTCTAGACAGCCTATTAACCTAAAATGATTGAGTAATAAACAAGTGAATCCATTTTCATGTTAAACAAATTTAATTGACATGAATTCAATTAAATATGACTTATACACCATCCAAACTCAATTATATGAACGAATTTTAACGCGACACAGCACCACCCACTGTCAATCCTACTTCTGCTCTTCCCTAAAAGAAGAAACACAACCACTCCTCTAATATAGCCTAATTAAGTTGGAAACTTTTGTTGTTTCCCTACTTGGGTTCTTCAAGGCATTTCCAGGGCAACATTGTCTCCTTCATACATACTTGTAATGCTCTTAGACCTGTTGATTTTTAATGCAAAGAGACTTGAGAGAGTGATAGTGTAGAAGAAGTGAAAATGGCTGCTGAAGGTGAGGTTATTAAAATGGAGGAAGAGCCACTAAGCCCTGGGGCTCGTTTATTTCATACACCACGCCTCAACTATTGCATCATCGCGATTTTGGGTTCCAAGACCATGATCGGTGTTAAAGTTTTCAAGATAGGGTTAGAGCAATCTCTAATAAAACATCCTCGCTTCTGTAATGTGCTGGTAAGGAAGCACTTCGTCGGCATACATATGTGTATCCACACGCATATATTTACAATCATCTACTTCAAAGATCTACTTCAAAAGTTTAAATTGTTGGAGAAGGTATAACTTAAGTATTTATCTATATAATAAAGTAGAACGAAGTTTGAATTCAAAAGACAAAGAGAGGTCTAGATCATTTTGAGACAAAATATAAACACATCCAACGAACAACGTAATCCCAATATAAAAGACGGTTCAGATCGATTCAGTATTATTGATCCGACGATCCTAATTAATCTACATTCCAACAATACTCAGCTACATTCCTTTTATCTCTCCTCATCTCCATTCAAAACATTGGAGAGATTGACTAAAACACTACTATATTTTTTTTATCTCTCATCATCCCCATTTAAACTATTGGAGAGTTTGAGTTAGACAATTGTATATCTATATATATCTATCTACACTAACAATATAGAGGCAATTTTAAATTTTCAAAATTAAAATTAATACTCTCAATCTACAAAAAAGAGAGAGAAAAACAACTAAAATTAAATTGAAATTTAAATATCATCAAAATTCATCTAATCTAATCCTACCCAAATATTATATATGCATAAAAAATTGACTAATTATCATCAATGTAAAAAGTGAAACTAATTGTCATTTTTATAATTAAAAAATATCAATTATTCACTAACAATCTATTAAATTTATTCAATAAACGATGTTTTAAACATTATCACTAAAATATTAGTATAATAAAACTATTAAACAAAAATCTAAGAGACATAGTAAAAAAATTAAAAATCAGTTGGCACATAATAAAGACTATAATCAATACTCGAATAAAAATAAGAGATAATTTTTCGTAGAAAAAACAAAATCAAATGAAAATCAATTGAAAGCACTTTCCCTTGAAAAAATTCATAATAAAATGAAGGTCATCTGAAGAAAGTCATATTATAATAAAAAAAGACTAAATAATTATATATATATATATATATATATATATGTGTGTGTGTGTGTGTATAACTTTTAGAATATATATATCATATTTTTTTTAAAAAAAATTGAGGATGGGCTCGTGTCCACCCTCGCCCTTGTGTAGCTCTGTCCAAGTATGTCATCCTATATCTATCTATCTATATCTATATCTATATGATCCTAATTGAATTTTTATTTCTTTTACATCTCTTCTCTCTTACACACACACACATCTCTCATATAACTCTATCTTCCGAGAGTTTGACTTAGACAAATATATATATATATATATAATACATCTAATACCCATTAATAGTCTAATCTCTCTATATATCATATTCTTATCTCTCATAAGTTTACCACATCTCTCATATAACTCTCTCTCTATACACCCACCAACACACACATGTCAATATCGACTCCTACAAAAAAAAGAAGATATTTTTTAAGTATAATGATTAAATATATAAATTGTGTGCATATTGATATTTTTTAGAGGTCGTGTTTTTAAATTAATTTTGATTTATGTAACTAAAGAAAATAATAAAAAAATAAAATATTTTTGAAATATTTATATTGCATAACCGGTGATCGAGGTTATTGAGTTGCTTAGTGCCTTCAGGCACGGGTTATTACTAGTATTTTAATATTATGTATTTGTACTCATACACTATTATATACTTTCAAACGACAATAGGATTTCTTTAGGTTACCGGACCATGCAAGCTAGGTTCCCCCCCCCCCAAAGTGTGGATTGACCCATCTTAGCTAGTTGCATTCTTTTGGTGAAAATTTTCATTTAAACTAGTTTTACGTGAAAATAGACTTCTCGAGCTTTCTAACCATTAGTGATGGATGAAAAACAATGCCCTGGTATGAAGTTATGTACGATAATTTTTCCTCCATGGTACCAGGAATAGCTAGGGTATGTGTAGAGGTCAATCTACTGCATAATAACCCAAATCGGATTTGGATTGACATGGGAGAAGAAGGGGCTCGTTGGCAAAGAATAATCTATGAGAGATGCAAGAAATTCTGCAAAACCTGCAACAAGCAGGGCCATGTCAATGAAGAATGTAGAAAAAGGAAAGTTGCACCACACAAGGAAGTTGTGCAAGGTAAGAATTTAGGCTTGGAAAAAGATGGTAAGGGTAAGGCAAGTAACGAGCAAAATAAGGGGAAGATATTCAGCATACTCAAAGTTTGGAAAATACTCAAAAAGGTAATTCCAGGTCACGTTTCATTCAAAACTCAACTAAAGCTAGCATATGCAGCTCATCAATTAAGGGGAATTTGGAAACAACATCTAAAGCCTGGGCAATTCAATAATGTAGAAAAGGAAATAGCAAGAAATTCGGGGAGATTAGCAAATATAGCCCATGAGATACGGGAAGTGGAGCAAGAAGAGTCAATTAGAATCCTTGAAAAAGGGGATCATTCGGGAAAAGATATTCTATCTAATATTCTATCTAAGGTAATTGTGCAGACCAAAGATTTAGAGAATTCACCATTGTCTAAGTCAGATTTGATACTGGAAAAAGAGGATCATGAACAAAACCTTATGAACACCAACCAGCACTCAGAAATCCACGAACAACAGATTGTAAATGAAATCAATCCCACTGATCAAGAATTAACGAAAAATCAAGTTACATCTGGCTGTGAATCTGTTGTATATAAGTTGGTTAATTTAAATGATGAGGAGGATGAGAATGTATTTTCTATTTCTTCTAAAGATGTCTTAGACGATGGGATAGACGAGTCATCATCCTTGTTGGATTATGGTCACTATAAGCAAGATTTTGAATCCTTAACAGTGGAGGCCGAGGAGAAATCAAAGTCCATTACTTCGAAAATGATGGCAGCAGTCCGTAAAAATATTCATAGTCAAGGAGAGATAATTCCAAACATGTCAGGAGAGGAGATTCAAAAGACCTTGAAGCTAAGAGGAGTTTATTCGAAGGATGACTACATTAAGAGGTCCTCTCTTCATGAGCAATCGAGGGGTTTTTACTCTGATGGGGAGGAGGCACCAGTAGTTCGAGAAAATAATTTCAATTCTTTTATGTCACCTTCTAAAAGGTTACTGTCAATATGCAATAAGGTTGAGATGCAGAAGAAGAGAAAAGAGGAGTTGTCTGTTTTGGCTATGACACTTGATAAAGTCAAACCTATAATTATGATGAGATCAAGAATGTTCAAGTTGCCAAAGCCAAAGAAATCCTATAGATTTAGATATTATTAATTTTTTAAGGATTGGTTCGACTTAAAAAAAAAAAAATTATGTTGTGTTTTGATTGACAAAATTTTGAGACAATTAAATTAGACACACTATGAATTTGACCCGGTAAAAAAAAAAAAAAAAAGATAGAAGGCTGCTGAGTTTTTTCAGCAACTCTTTATTTTTTAGATTTTGTATTAAATTTTGTAAAAAACAGGCTGTCTGCTTTTACTTCATCATAATAGTTTTGGAGAATGAAATAAAGTGTTGATTTGTTTTGGAAAAAAAAAAATATAATATGTTTGTCTTTAAATTTTAGCAATCATCAAATAAAATCTTATATTCACTTAAGGAGAACCGGGTGTTCAACAAAAACATGATTGAAAATATTTATGAGTTTAATTTTTAACACATCAAATGTTGCAAAATCCTGAATTTCCTCGAGAAATTCATCATCATGATCATTTTCCTATATAAAATCATGTCAAACTATGCAAGCAATAACACTAATTATTTATCAACTCATTTTGTTTTATATATATAAGGTGGTGGATAACAAGAAGCAAGAGAAAATGAGGTGGTCTCGGACAAGGGTGGATGTAGAAAACCATGTCACCACGCCGGATTTGGACCCGGATATGGAGTCACCGGATCAATTTGTTGAAGACTACATATCGGATCTCACTAAGACCTCCATGGAAATCAGCAACAAACCACTAGGGGAGTTCCACATTCTAAATGTGCAAACATCAGAGGTAAATGCTCTCGCAATTCTTCGGATCCACCACTCACTCAGTGACGGCGCATCGCTAATCTCTATTCTGCTTGCTTGTTCCTGGAAAACCTCGAAACCCGAGGCAATGCCAAGTATTCTGGCGAAGAAACAAGGCAGCAGTTCAAGCCATTCGGGTGGCTTGTGGTGGTTCTTGTTCACTGTATGGACTACATTGGTGATGATTTTCAATACTTTTATGGACTTGATGGTGTTTGTGGCAACAACATTGTTCCTCAAGGACAAGGAGACTCCTATTAAAGGTGCAGTTGGGGTTGAGCTGAGGCCAAAGCGAATTGTGTACCGTTTGCTTAGTCTAAATGACATAAAGCTTGTACAGAATGCAATGAACATGGTAATATTATTTATTTCTCGTTTTGTAATGCTTTTAAAAATAATATTATTAAAAATATATTTTGGTCATTTTTTTTTTTTGGGAGGAGAGGGGGAAAGAGTTTGAACTATTGAACTTAAGAAGACAAAATTTTCACAAGATAAAGAGTATTATTGGACCAAANGGGAGGAGAGGGAGATGGAGAGGGAGAAAGAGTTTGAACTTTTGACCTTAAGAAGACAAAATTTTTACAAGATAAAGAGTATTATTGGACCAAAGGCCCGTTGGTTGGTATGTCATTAATGTCGAAGCAAGGGAGTAAATCTAGACAAACAGACAGACAGCCCACAGCTCTGAGCGGTCCATTATTACCAAATCTAACANCAAAATTTTCACAAGATAAAGAGTATTATTGGACCAAAGGCCCGTTGGTTGGTATGTCATTAATCTTGAAGCAAGGGAGTAAATCCAGACAAACAGACAGACAGCCCACAGCTCTGAGCGGTCCATTATTACCAAATCTAACAAAAAGTGTTCAAATTTTGTTGAACGGAAAGAGTGGGGTCGTCAATTGAATGAGATAACCATGTGTGAAACAATGGACTCGTCAACTGAATGAGATAACTATTTGTGTGAAACAATGCCTAAACTAAGCATAATAAAGCAAATTGATCCTACCAAGCAAAATCGGTAAGCAGACCCAAAACATATGAGATATGGATCATCATACGGCACCGACAATAAAAATGATGTAATAAATTCGAGAGACATTTGATTTCATCTGCAACGAATGTATGGTGAGAAGTAACTGACATATTCATTCTTCAAAATTGGAATGGGTACAGTCTATTGGTATTAATGAGGGTACTGTTATAGGTAGGAGTAGGANTGAATGTATGGTGAGAAGTAACTGACATATTCATTCTTCAAAATCGGAATGGGTACAGTCTATTGGTATTGAGGGTACTGTTATAGGTAGGAGTAGGAATAGGATTAGGAATTGAATGTATGTAGCACATTTATTTGCCAATGAAAAATGAAAACATGGGTAGGAGAAGAAGCATCAAAAGTGAGTAGACGTGATGATATTAATTTTGAATGATAACGCAGTACTGTATCACTTNTTATTTATCAACTCATTTTGTTTTATATATATAAGGTGGTGGATAACAAGAAGCAAGAGAAAATGAGGTGGTCTCGGACAAGGGTGGATGTAGAAAACCATGTCACCACGCCGGATTTGGACCCGGATATGGAGTCACCGGATCAATTTGTTGAAGACTACATATCGGATCTCACTAAGACCTCCATGGAAATCAGCAACAAACCACTAGGGGAGTTCCACATTCTAAATGTGCAAACATCAGAGGTAAATGCTCTCGCAATTCTTCGGATCCACCACTCACTCAGTGACGGCGCATCGCTAATCTCTATTCTGCTTGCTTGTTCCTGGAAAACCTCGAAACCCGAGGCATTGCCAAGTATTCTGGCGAAGAAACAAGGCAGCAGTTCAAGCCATTCGGGTGGCTTGTGGTGGTTCTTGTTCACTGTATGGACTACATTGGTGATGATTTTCAATACTTTTATGGACTTGATGGTGTTTGTGGCAACAACATTGTTCCTCAAGGACAAGGAGACTCCTATTAAAGGTGCAGTTGGGGTTGAGCTGAGGCCAAAGCGAATTGTGTACCGTTTGCTTAGTCTAAATGACATAAAGCTTGTACAGAATGCAATGAACATGGTAATATTATTTATTTCTCGTTTTGTAATGCTTTTAAAAATAATATTATTAAAAATATATTTTGGTCATTTTTTTTTTTTGGGAGGAGAGGGGGAAAGAGTTTGAACTATTGAACTTAAGAAGACAAAATTTTCACAAGATAAAGAGTATTATTGGACCAAAGGCCCGTTGGTTGGTATGTCATTAATCTTGAAGCAAGGGAGTAAATCCAGACAAACAGACAGACAGCCCACAGCTCTGAGCGGTCCATTATTACCAAATCTAACAAAAAGTGTTCAAATTTTGTTGAACGGAAAGAGTGGGGTCGTCAATTGAATGAGATAACCATGTGTGAAACAATGGACTCGTCAACTGAATGAGATAACTATTTGTGTGAAACAATGCCTAAACTAAGCATAATAAAGCAAATTGATCCTACCAAGCAAAATCGGTAAGCAGACCCAAAACATATGAGATATGGATCATCATACGGCACCGACAATAAAAATGATGTAATAAATTCGAGAGACATTTGATTTCATCTGCAACGAATGTATGGTGAGAAGTAACTGACATATTCATTCTTCAAAATTGGAATGGGTACAGTCTATTGGTATTAATGAGGGTACTGTTATAGGTAGGAGTAGGAATAGGATTAGGAATTGAATGAATGTATGTAGCACATTTATTTGCCAATGAAAAATGAAAACATGGGTAGGAGAAGAAGCATCATAAGTGAGTAGACGTGATGATATTAATTTTGAATGATAACGCAGTACTGTATCACTTACTGTCAGTCTTATTTCTTCTCTTCCCATAAAGCCACCAACCAGACCACCCTAAAAGAAGAAACACAACCACTTCTCTCTAATATAGACTTAGTTAAGTTGGAAACTTTTATTGTTTCCCTACTTGGGTTCTTCAAGGCATTTTCAGGCCAACATTGCCTGCTTCATATATCCTTGTAGACGAAGTGAAAATGGCTGCTGAAGGTGAGGTTATTAAAATGGAGGAAGAGCCACAAAGCCTCGGGGCTCGTTTATTTCATACACCGTGCCTCAACTGTTGTATCATTGCAATTTTAGGTTTCTAGACTACGATCGAAGTGAAAGCTTTCAAGATAGGGTTAGAGAAATCTCTGATCAAACATCCTCGCTTCTCTAGTGTGTTGGTAAGGAAGCACAACTTTGTGGGCATACATATTTGTATCCACACATATATATAATCATCTATTTCAAAAGCTTAAGTTGTTAGAGAAAGTGTAACTTAGATATTTATATTTTAATATTATGTACTTGTACTCATGCGCTATTATATACTTTCAAACGACAATAGGATTTCTTCGGGTTACTGAACCATGCAAGCTAGGTTGCCCACCCAAGTGTGGATTGACCCATCTAAGCTAGTTGCATTCTTTTGCTGAAATTTTTTATTTAAACTAGTTTTACGTAAAACTATACTTTTCGAACTTTCTAACCATTAGTGATGGACTCAAAAAATGCCCAGGGACAAAATTATATATTATAATTTTTCTACAAGGTATCAGAAGTGAAATTTTATTTACAAAATCCTATATTCACTTAAAGTGTTCAATAAAAACATTATTGAAAACATCTGAGTTTAATTTTTAATACATCAAATGCTACAAAATCCTGAATTTCCTCGTGAAATTTATCATCATCATTTTCCTACATAAAATCATGTGAAACTATGCAAGCANTAATACATCAAATGCTACAAAATCCTGAATTTCCTCGTGAAATTTATCATCATCATTTTCCTACATAAAATCATGTGAAACTATGCAAGCAATAATATTATTTTATCAACTCATTTTGTTTTATGTATATAAGGTGGTGGATGACAAGAAGCATGAGAAAATGAGGTGGTCTCGGACAAGGGTGGATGTGGAAAACCATGTCATCACACCGGATTTGGACCCGGANGTGGTGGATGACAAGAAGCATGAGAAAATGAGGTGGTCTCGGACAAGGGTGGATGTGGAAAACCATGTCATCACACCGGATTTGGACCCGGATATGGAGTTACCGGATCAATTTGTTGAAGACTACATGTCGGATCTCACTAGGACCTCCATGAAAATCAGCAACAAACCACTATGGGAGTTCCACATTCTAAATGTGAAAACATCCGAGGCAAATGCTCTCGCAATTCTTCGGATCCACCACTCACTCGGTGACGGCGCATCGCTAATCTCTATTCTGCTCGCTTGTTCTCGGAAAACCTCAGATCCCGAGGCACTGCCAAGTATTCCGGCGAAGAAACGAGGCAGCAGTTCGAGCCATTCAGGTGGTTTGTGGTGGTTCTGGTTCACTGTAGGGACTACATTGGTGATGATTTTCAGTACTTTTATGGACTTGATGGTGTTTGTAGCAACAACATTGTTCCTCAAGGACAAGGAGACTCCTATTAAAGGTGCAGCTGGGGTTGAGCCGAGGCCTTAGCGAATTGTGCACCGTTTGCTTAGTCTAAATGACATAAAGCTTGTGAAGAATGCAATGAACATGGTAATATTATTTATGTTTAACATATTATGCAGGCATGAAATCATGCATCCTAATCTCGTTGCTGCCTTGATAATTCTCGGAATTTTGTAGGTTTTGGGTCAAAAATTGATCCGCACACGCGTTGAAGTATATAAATACTTACACAACATTTTTTTGTGACAGAAGCTTATTATGCTTTTTCATATGTAGTTTACCGTGCTAGTGTGATACTACAAATATTTTTAACNAAAGCTTATGCTTTTTCATATGTAGTTTACCGTGCTAGTGTGATACTACAAATATTTTTAACTTCAAAGAACAACATCCTAAATTTCTTAATCCTTTTTTATTGTATTATTTTGTCAATAATCTTGAAATATGACATTTCAATTCCTTGTGTGTGCATGTTTTACAAGACCGTTAATGATGTTATACTGGGAGTAACACAAGCTGGCCTCTCTCTCGTTATCTCAACAGGAGATATGGTGAGTAGGGTTTTTTTTATTTCTTTTTGTTCTATTAATTTCAAATCAATATGTATGCATGAGTTTGCATTTCTGGCGTTACTGGTTTTAGAATCAAGATCTCCGGTAATATATTTTTTCTTTAATTTTATGCTTGAGAAATTATTCATCATTAATGAGTAAAAGACTCATTAGTACACAATGGGTCCCGCTTGACTATATGATAGATGATTCATTAAAAACATAATTAAGAAGAAATTACATATATGATCCTTAAATTATGACCCTCGTGTTAATTAAGTTCTTGAACTTTTTTTTGTATTAATTAAATCCTTCAATTTTTTTTTATGTCAATTAAGCCCTTGAACTCTCTAATTATGTCAATTGAGCCTTTCTATCTGCCTTCGTTAGAATTCTAACAGAAATTGACAAAGTGTGTCACGTGATGTTTGAGTAAACTACATATATGACTCTCAAACTATGACCATTGTGTCAATTAAGTCCCAAAATTTTTTTTTTTGTGTCAATTAAATATTTTTGTTTTTTTTGTCATATACTCACGTGAGTGGCACACTCTAACGAATTCAAACNCTGCCTTCGTTAGAATTCTAACAGAAATTGACAAAGTGTGTCACGTGATGTTTGAGTAAACTACATATATGACCCTCAAACTATGACCATTGTGTCAATTAAGTCCCAAATTTATTTTTTTTTGTGTCAATTATGTCAATTAAACATTTTTGTTTTTTTTGTCATATACTCACGTGAGTGGCACACTCTAACGAATTCAAACAGAAGAACTCAATTAACATAATTAGAGAGTTTTGATGTTCAATTAACACACATACACACACACACAAATTGAAAGGCTTAACTAAAACAAAAGTCATAGTTTGAGAGTCATATGTATAGCTTACTCCAAAATTAAAGAGAAAATATATTGGAGGGAATCTCATTCTCAATAACACTTTATCCTTCTATATTTTAAAACCAACACAACTTTATACCTATATAGTATCCCCGACAATACCAGGCAAAAAGTTCATCAAAGTATTTGCAATGTTTTGCAATACTAGACAACACCTTGCTAATGTTGTTTTTTCCTTTTTTTTTTGAACGTTAAAACTGGAAACTCTATTCAAACACATGAAACAACAGGATTACAATCGTAATGTAAAAAAGCCTTTAATTCCAGTGGGGAGCAACTGACCCATTTGACTATAGTATTTTTTTTTTTTCTAATGCTATTTTGAAGTTCTGTTTGTCTTGGCATAATCTAGAGATTTGATTGTTGAAATGTTATACATTTGATGAGGATCAGCCAATGATGAGGAGAATAACATGGGAGCAAGTAAGAAGGAAAAAAATAATCTACCACGAAGTATTCGCCTCAGATCAGCCCTTCTAGTTAACATCAGGCCATCTTCAGGAATTGAGGTAAATTTGTGTAATGAAATCTTTTATATATTTTTCATCCTTAACGAATGGGGATGACTGGATTGCATTAGAAAATGTTAATGGAACTTTCTCATCCAACCATTTACAATCATTCTGTATGGCAAAATTTGAAAATTATTTTGAGAAGTATGGTAGTATTGATCATCTTAATCCGTATCATGTTTTTGCATTCCCAACACAAACTAAACTAGGTAAAGACCATTTTTTGGTTTGATAAATTCTTGTATTGCTGATTAGATAACTCCGCTTTCTTCAACAAAACTTTGATCGATTATTTGGGATCGGCAATATAGATTTTATTTTTTATTACAATCTATCAAGGGTCCTATTTTCAATTGATCGTAAGGTAAAAATACCCAACTCATTGTTGCTGATTTGCCTTGCTCAAGGTCATTCTTTCTGTGATGTTATGTGAAAAAATAGGCTTTAGCTGAGATGATGAAGGAGGACTCCAAGGTTAAGTGGGGAAACCTAATTGGCTATGTCATCGTCCCTTTCACCATTGCTCTGCAAGAAGATCCATTGAGTTATGTTCTTGAAGCTAAAGCTGTTATGGATCGAAAGAAACTGTCATTTGAAGCTATAACCACTTATGTGGTCTCTAAGTTCATACTCAAGATTTTCGGAGTAAAGGTACAAAACAAATTATATATGGATTAAAGAGATTACAATTTCAATAATGCTACTCGGGTCTAATTTAAACAAATTTATTGACGTAATTCACTGCAGTAGTTAGATTAACAGCAAGTTTTAGTGTTAAATAGAGTTTATTGTCAATCCAACATCTATAATGATTAGATGAGTAAATTAGATTAATAAATTAAGTATAAATGATTTACTCTTACAATTTACTTACACATGAATGTGTTGGAAGCTGCTATGGAGAAACGACACAAAAAAAAATTATTTAATTATATGATAATTCATACAATACATGAATATTTAGTAGGAAACATGTAGCATTTTCTTCATCGAATGCAAATTAAACAAGTTTGTGTAAAAATTGAGTTAGTCATGTTGAATATTAACTGTATCTATTTATGATCGAGTCAGATTAGAGAGTTATATCATTTTCACATTTTCGAACTGTATTATGAATCGTGTCAAAAATTATAAACCTTACTTACCAAATGTTGATTCTTGATGTTTGTTTAATTATGTTGACAGGCAGCTGCTGCTGTGACACACAAACTTGTTTCCAACACTACAATGGCTTTCTCAAATGTTGTTGGTCCCCAAGAGGAAATTAGTTTATATGGCCATCCCTTAGCTTACATTGCTCCCACTTTTTATGGCCTCCCATATGAAAAATACTCTTAGCAGTATTACTATGCTAACATTAAGTACTTGGCGTACACTGACCATATTACTTTTTCAAAATCCTGAGCTTGTACTCCAGTTTCAACCTTCATCCCTTTCAAATTAGCCTCAATTTTTAAAAGTCGATTATTTAAATGTATAACAAACAAAATAATGACTAAGAATTTGAATTTTAAGTATTATAAAAAGTTTGTAATTGACAATTACCATCATAAATCAAGCATTCTCATATTCAATCATTGACCCCGTATATAACTCCTTGTAGATAATGTCTTCAACGTTCTACAACTTATCAAACTAATACTGCTAAGAGTATTTTAGAGATTAAGAAAAAAAATGGACTTAACTCTTTACTAATAAAATTTGAAACAGTTTTACTCTCAAATAAATTTCTTTGACGAATTCAAGTCATTATAAGTTAATCTAGGAAGCCTTAGCCTCAATTTTCACTAAAAAAAAGAAACATACAAACCTTTCTTGATAATAAGGGGAAAGAGAGAATTATAAAAAATAAAAATTTAAAAAAAGAAACAGAGAATGACATTTGTACCTTAAGGGCATGTTTGGTTAGAGGATAGGGGTGGTATAAGGAGATGAGATTAGAAAAATAGTACGTGAGTCCCACCTTATACCTTATTTATTTGACATTTTACAATAAGTACTATTTTTTGAATTGTAATACAGATCCGATGTGAACAGTGACTTAAATGTCTTCTATATGATATTAATGAATATCATCTATCTGATAGTATTATCTTTCAAGTACAAATGNGATGTGAACAGTGACTTAAATGTCTTCTATATGATATTAATGAATATCATCTATCTGATAGTATTATCTTTCAAGTACAAATGAAAGGACGGTATAAACGAGTAAAATGACACACAAATGCCCTCCTATGTGAAGAGTTCACATATACAAAATTTATTTTGAATTTTTTTCTTGTATTATGTTTAAGTGTACGGTGTCACCAATTTTTTTTTTATTTTTTTTAAAATTATTTTAAATTTTTTTCTTATATTATTTTTAAGCATACAGTGTCACTGGTATTTTTTTTATTTTTTAAAAATATTTTAAATTTTTTCCTTATATTATGTTTAAGCGTAAGATGTTAACGGTTTTTTTTTTTAATTTTTTTTAAAAAAATTATTGTGAATTTTTTCCTTGTATTTATGTTTAAGAGTACAGTGTTAACGATTTTTTTTTAATTTTTTTTTAAAAAATTATTTTAAATTTTTTCCTTATATTATGTTTAAGTGTATGGTATTACCAATTTTTTTTTCCGGTATCACCGATTTATAGCATTAGATTATTTATTATACCAAAAATTATGCAAAAGCATTACACAAACAGAATAATGGAATGGAAGATGTTAAGGGTAAAATGATACATTTGTTATATAAAATGTGATATAATATATGGTTGTTTGTGAGACTCACTATAGTACCTATTGAGCAAACAAACAAGGAAAATGATGGGATAAAAGTTTAAGACCGGGTATAATATCTCATTGGATAGGAGTGAAATAAATATCATTTTCAATACCACCCAAACCTAATGCTCGAAACAAACATGCCCTAAATTGTTTCAATTCTTGACTCATGTGTAAAAGATTAAAATTGTCCAACTGTATCTTCAATCATATAAAAAGATACTAATGTAGTTTTTTTTAATGAAATTAAGTGTAAAAGTCTCATGTAAAATACTTAAAATTGAGTACCAAACAAACAATTTGGGAGAAAAATAAGGTGATATCTATTTTTTCATGCAAATTTCACGCATGAATTATAGTTTTTTTATTATATGCACAATAATGATCCTACGTATCAAGGTTGGGACATTTGTTTAATCAAATTAAATTTTTTAATTTTGACAAATCTTAATTTCATACCATTATGTCGCATTTGCCAATGTGATTTATATTTTTGCATGTGGAATTTCAATCACCAAAAAATGTATATAATGTTTCATATCCTACAACACAATAATCCTTAGAATTTATAATTTCAAGTATTCTTCATTTGGTAGGAAGGATGGAAAGTAGGAAGGATAAAAAATAAGAAAGATACATTTTTCTATCATTCAAGGAAGGGAAGTAAAAATGATATACTTTCTTTCATTTGTGTTTAGTTGGATGGATGAAAAATAAAAATGACTATTTTTTTTTTGTTCTAGTTAAGATGAAGGATGACAATCGAGTCGTGTTGTGTCAAATTCGTGTTGAGTCGTTACGTCGAACATTAGTCAAACTTAACTCAACTCATTTAACTAATTGTGTCATGTCGAGTTGCTAGTTAACATGTTTATTTTCGTGTTTGTATTCGTATTCGTGTTGACTTACATAAACTTTGAATAAAAAATTTAATGCTAATATTCTATTTTCACTTAATTGAATCAATGTTAATATTTTTCTACAAACAAAAAATTAACTTAAATAAATATAATAATAATAAGTAAAAATAACTTTTTTATATAATAATAATGTCAGTGTTTAATAAATAATTACAAATAATTAACATTTTATGTCTATAATACTACTTAAACATGTTAGTTTCGTGTTACCATACAAACGAGAAAATAAATAAAATATTTATTTTTAAACAAATTGGTTGATGGTGTCGATTTTGAGTTTGTCTGGTTGAACTGAATATGAGTCTTTTATATTTTTTGTTCGCGTGCCAGGTTTTTTTTAAGTTTATGTCATAAAATTTGCGTCGAGTTCGAGTCGTGTCATCGTGTTGAGTTAAAAATTTTCACCCTAATTAAGATGAAAAAAATATTTTTTTAAATTTTAAATATTTTTTAAAATTTTTTATTTAAAATTTTTTCAATATATATATAAATACATATTTTATCATTATATTTTTATATGAAATTAATGTATACATAATATATTCATATATTAAAAGATATATAGACAAATAAGATATATTTTAACACAAATAATTAACTTTTCATCCACTTTTCTTTTTATTTTAGAGAGATTGATTTTTGTGAGTTGAAAGAAAAGTTTATTTACCCACTTTTTTATCCTTTATATTTTTTTTTCTTACCAAACATGATACTTTATTTTTTCCTCTAACTTTTTATCCTTCTAATTTTTCTTCCTTCTATTTTTCTATTATACCAAATGGAACATTAGGGTAGAACATTAATTTAGTCGAAATGATTTTTTAAAATTTAATCAAGCTTAACTTTGCACACTGATATAACATTTGCAAATGTGATATATTTTTTTATGTGTAATTTTATTCCGCACGTACTGATTATGGTATTTTATCTTTCACGACGATAATTTTTAGTATTTTACAATATTTTTAATCAATATGAAAGAAGGAAAGAAAATAAGAGGGGTATTATTGTCATTTTAAATTTGAGGATTTCCTTGCTTATGTCGGAAGCTACAAATGTTCTAGAACTCTCTTCTGCCTCTCTCTCTCTCTCTCTCTCTGCTTTTCCCTCATTTTATATCAGCGAAGCAAATTCACAATCCCAAAACCCTTTTCGTCCCAAACCCTAAGTCGAATCTCATCTGTCGAAATCATTTTCCGCCTCTGTATCCATGGCGATACTCTCCGATTACGAAGAAGAAGATCACAAGCCGAAGACTAGACCCTCATCATCGTCGGCGACAACTAAGCCATTCAACGCTGTTTTTGACCCATCGAACCCACTAAGGTTTCTCGAAACTGCCTTTGAGTTCGTGGCTCGCGAGAGCGATCTGTTCAGGAGTGAGTCGGTGATCAAGGATGTGAATGCGCTGGTTCGGTCAGTGAAGGATAAAGTGGAGTCTGAGGAGAGTAGAAAGAAAGCAAAGGTTGAGAGCAGTGGCGAGGCTGAGAAGAAAGTAAAGGTGGAGCCTGCTGTGGGGACGTCGACGCCGGCGGCGGCGGTGAAGCAGGAAGGTAAGGGGGAGCCAAAGAAGGAGGATTTGAAGATGACTGACGCTAAGGAGGACGAGAAGAATGGGCCTCGAGGTTCTTATCTTGAATCTCAACACCTTTTCAATATTTCTGTGTTTGTGTGTATAAATGTGTTCGTATGCCCTAATTTTAGTTATTTATTTATGCTCATGATATATCGGCGTTCGTTCTCTTTCATTGGCGATGAAGAACATAAGGGGTTTTGTTCCGAAAGCCTGAAACGTAGCTCTATTCCGTATGTGCGTGTGTTGTGTGTTTGTTTTTGCGCCTAATTTTACTTATGCGTATTAATTTCAGGAATTTTAATTTTAATCCAATTGGCTGCGGATTAAAACTTAAGATTGTAATGTGAATTTGCTCTAGATTTGCCTAATATTGATAGGGCGAAAGGGTGCCCGAGATTCTTTTCCTAAATGTTGGAACATGCTCTATTATATGTGTATATGTTTGATTGTGTTTTGCATTTGTGTTTGTGTTTGTGTTGTTATTCCCTGGCCTTGTATTTATTTGTGATGATTTGGAAAAGAGAAAAAGAATGAACTTTGATATTTTTTGTGGCTTTATCCATGTGGATTTTCATTTTGCTGGTGGATGCTACCATACTAAGATATATAGTAGCAAAACTTAAGTTTATTTTTACACAACTTAAATCTATTGATGCTGCAGGATATGGTGGCTGATGAACTTAATTTGAGAGCTAGATGATAAAATGTTGTTTTAATTGATAGAATCGTGGGAGAAGTTGATGTGCTCTTTGTGCAAGATTGCACTTTCCTTGTCAAAACTGTTCTTTAGAATTTTTTACTTTCATAATGACTTTCTGTGAAGTTAGAAGACACAGAACTTTTGTAAAACAATGAAGGATGCATGATTGCTTAGAGTAGGATCAAAACAGATTGAAAAGTTAAAATCTCGTGAGACGGTTTAATTGAATTACTAAACATGAAACTTCATCAGTTTTTTAGGACTTGCTATGAATAGTTTTCGTAGAGAAAGTTTGAGACTGATGCTACCAGAAACATGGATCAAAATCTAATGTGGAGTAATCCCCCTTAATCTTGAGATGTTACAAGAGTGCCCGCTCTTTGAAATTATTTGAGTACGATTGCTGATATTTATGGCATAACAGGTGCCTTTTCGTGACATACATTTGTGAGGCTCGGTAGTTGCAGCTGGAGTTTGAGTGGAATTGGGCATAACAAGTTCCTGTTAGTTTCCCATCTTTTGACTACTTAATTACCAAAAGAAAAGGCTTGTTCTTTTTTCACCCTTATCCCATTTTAATTTCCAACTAAAGTCTATATCTTGCATTGTATTCAACACATCACAAACTGGTACATCTGAAGTGACAATGTCCTTGCCCAAGGATACTCTTTTTAGCTATGGCATACTATTATTTGTGGGCCCTGTGTGAAGTGTGGTTTCTATGACTTCGCTAAGAATGTTTTTTTATTTTTTTGGGGGGTTTTTGTTTTTTTTTTTTTTTTTTTTGTTGGGGCGGGGATGATAAATTTGCATTACTGATGACTGTTTTTCTCGTTTCTCCATTTTATTAATTGGGCAGCTCCCAATAAAGGCAATGGCCTTGATCTTGAGAAGTATTCTTGGGTCCAGTCTTTGCCAGAGGTCACTATTAATGTCCCTGTACCTTCTGGAACAAAATCGAGGTCTGTTGTGTGCGAAATAAAGAAGAACCATCTGAAAGTAGGTCTCAAGGGTCTGCCTCCAATAATTGATGTAAGTTTGTTGTGAAGTTTTTCTTTTATTTGGGTGGGTGATGTTGTGGAGTAAGATTATTTTGAATATTGTATGTCTGTCAGTTTGATATCTTCATGTCAAATCATGTTTGTTGACATACTTGCAGGGTGAGCTCTATAAACCTGTGAAACCTGATGATTGCTATTGGAGTCTAGGTATGTTTCTTCACTGACAGTCCTCCATATGGCCAATTTCTTAAAAACTGAGCAAGGCCACTTCATGTAGTACTTGTGGATTAGTAGTCATGTGGCTTTACTGCAATAGCTATACAGGTGGATTTATAAGGTCTCAAGTAATACATTTGATTTGGGGATCAGTACATTGTCTTTATGTTGGGCGTGTTCATATTCATATGTAGAGGGATTATCAACATTTTGCTCTCCCTCTGCGCACGGGAGGTAGGGGGATGGGGTCATTGCAGTTGGAATCCAGTGCTTATTCCAATTTTCAGAGAAATGCTTTTTCCATTAATTTTTGGTGATTTTAACTAATTTCATTTCAAGAATTCTGGTACAGATGCTTTTTTTTGTGTGCGAACTGGGTACAGACGCCTTTTTTTTGGTCAAGAACTGGGTACAGATGCTGACTGATGCACATTTGTATAAAAACTTGTACTTGTTGCAGAGGACCAGAAAACTGTATCTGTTCTCCTGACTAAGCAGGACCAGATGGAATGGTGGAAGTGTGCGGTGAAGGGAGATCCTGAAGTTGATACTCAGAAAGTTGAACCAGAGAACAGCAAGCTTTCTGATCTGGACCCAGAAACCCGATCAACTGTGGAAAAAATGATGGTAGGTCGTGAATTCCTTGTCACCATGATTCTGGTGTTGTTTCTTGTCTATGTTGGATATTAATTAGTAGAATCCATTATGAAGTCCTTAAATATTGTCAATTGTGCAAAAGTCACTCAACCAAAGCTTTGCCTGAAAGTTTCATTCCCTCTATGTTTCATATTATTTTGGGGTTTTCTGTTCTTTTGCTTTTTGTGATCTCTCAACATGCTGCTAAATGCTTTTCTGCAGTTTGACCAGCGACGGAAGTCCATGGGCCTGCCAACTAGTGATGAGATGCAGAAACAAGAGATGTTGAAGAAATTCATGGCTGAGGTGAACACCCCCCCTTTTTTTTTTCTGTTTTCTTTCTTCTTTTTCTCACCATATATTAATATGCTCGGGTTATATGTCTTCTGAACTCGATACTTGAACTCATGCAGCATCCGGAGATGGACTTTTCAAGGGCAAAGATAAGCTGATGGATCCCGTTTTCTGCTGCTGTAGTATATGACATTATTGAAGAAAGTGCTGTCTTTTGGATCAGTTTTTCTGGGCCGCCTTTGGTTGAACTTTTGTCCATATGAGCTCTTTGCAATCTGTTTATTGTATGCTTTTGGTACTCTATTATCACCATAACCTTAGTCAATCATATGATCTGTAGAATTTCGGTAATGTTCTGCATTCACTTTGGTATTATTGATTTTTATGCTACTTGTTCAAAGCCATTCTATCTTTTGGTTTCTGGATGTACTATTGAGGGAAGCCATAAAAAGCATCTTGAGGGAGTATCGTAGCTTCTCAATGACACTGGCATTCCCGACTACATAGCACAGTTTTTTAGAGTCTTCTGAAGAATATGCCCATGAAGATGTAGGCCCATGATGAATCGGACAAGGTGCTTTCTTGAAGGGAACAGGGATGTGGGGGTGGATGAGGAAAAACAATCCAATGGCGTAGATTATACTTGGTTTTCGTTTAAGGCTATGATATGGGAACCCTTTTACAGTCTCTACATGTTTAAGGAATTGAAGGTTGCGGTAAAATCACCATATGGGTATAGAAGCTAGAGCATGAGGTTGAATGAGAAGGGAGGGTCTCTGAGAATTGTAATTTGGTTGGGAAGACGGTGAAAAAAGAATACTAGGGAAATGCTTTTCTTCCAGGTCTACTATTTTGTTTTACAGTGTGTGCATGTGGGGGCTTTCAATTGTGCTGGCTTGTTGCCTTGCCAAATTAGAGTGCTTCAGGTCAGGCTTAAATACCCGAAAAATAAGGTCCAGACCATTAGGTGTGATTCCAAAATCTGCTCGTCTCAAGTGAATCTCTTATCAGTAAGGATATTTTTTTTTTTTTTCCACATAAAAAAGTTCCATTGGACAATCGGGATTGCACTCGTGCTTGAGCGTGATGATAGCAACTTGAAACCAAGAGGGAAGTCTACTAGTGGGACCTAGATGGCAGGAAACCATAGGTGCTCTCAAAGGTCGATTCAAGTTAATAGTTTGACCTGGCATTACAGAGTTGCTGGTGGGACTCTTGTTAACTTCATAGGAGTCAAATAAGATGTTAAAGTGGGCAGTGGAAGTCACTAGACCACCAGCCTGATGGTCTTTTATCAATATGTTGGGTGATCAAATATTAATAGAAATTATATTGAAAAAATATTAGATAGACTCTTCATATTCATGAAATGATGCGGCACAATATTTGTGGAAGGTGGTGGGATGCACTAAACTGACAATCTAAATTTTGTTACAAAAAAATTTGATAAAATCGCCAATGCTGTCTCCATCGCCAATAATAACCCATAGAGTAGGTGACTGGACGAATCCTACCCAAATCGTGAACAAGAACACCCTTTCTTCACTTCAAGCTATTCATAATTTAAAATTGATGTGCTTATCAAAAAAGTTTTTTTACAAAATATTTACGACATGAATGTGAATGATTGTGTAGCAGGCGAAAGTTCTGTTGTTTAACAGCTCAAGAGGCCATGAGAAAGGGTGAGGTGGTTGATCCATGAACCCGTCCCACATCGTGTGGTTAGAGAAAGTTGTTACCCTATACATGTAAAATCTCTCCCTTCACTGTTATGACACGTTTTAAAGCCTTGAGGTACAATTCAACGCCAATAATAACACATACAGTTGGGCCGAGTTGTTACAAATTGAATCAGTGTGTCTTGACTGGAAAAAAAAAAATTTGATAGGTTCTATTGATCTAAACATTTACATTAATTTGATAAATTTAGTGTACTACGTATAACACAACACCTTTCTATATATGCCAGTAGGGTAATTTTCGTACGTCCATCTCTTCCAAAAGGTGAGGGCATCCACCACCATTGTCCCATATTATTAGCTTTAGAATGATGTTGTGAGTTGTTTGGCTCATTCCAGAATCTGCCACTATTATTCAACCTTATTCCGGTCCCCAAAAGGGCCAAAACCACCATAGAATAGCTGTGAAAATTACTGGTTATGGGTACATACTCTTCTTTTTCATGGCCCTGAATTATGGAAGTTGCTTTCACTTATATATCACAATGCTCCACAGTCTCGTAACGTGACCAATTCTTGGCCTTTCATCTTTGCCAGTTGGTAGGCATTAAGGTTGGATTCTAGACCCGTCAACAGATTAAATTTGAGTCGCATTTCATTTAACCCATTTTGAATCCGAATCAAATTTGAAAAATTCAATCAGATTTTGATCTAATTGCCTGATATAGATTTCATTCTTATATTTTTATATCCGAGTCCTTTAAGAAATTAAAATACGCTCTAAAATTTTGATTTGAATCGAACAGCAGAATTAGAACTAATTTTAGTAAATTCTGTCTCAATTTTAACTTCATATCATCATCAATTAAATCACATGATCACTCAATTTCACTAAATATCTATATGTGTATAACTTGGACTAGACCATAATCAAATAAGGTATTAATATTCTTATTCAAAACTTTCATAAATAATTATATATCCAATTAAACAAATTTGAATTAGCATCAAAATTTGATTTCTCCCTTTTGTGGAGGGACGACTTTTCATAAAGTTCAGCATTAGTGTGATACTTAACCGAGTCATATTGTCGTGATCTATTGAGACAATTGAAATATTAAAAAAAATGACTTTTTTGAACTTATATGCTTACGTCATCTCATAGTTCGACTTATTAGGTCCGCCCATAAGCACATGTGCAAACAAAGGTTTGGTGGGACAATCTATTTATTATGATTAGTACGTTGATAATTTTTAACCATGAATTTTCTGGGAGGGCATGATTTAACAGCTTTGAGTGAGAATAACTCCTCCATTACCTCTTAATCTAATGATTATCATCTCTGCCTTAGAACTTAAGATCAAGAGTTTGAATTTCATCGTTCTCTACTAATGTCTGATCCAAAAAAAAAAAAAGTGAGAATAGCACCACTTAAAGTGGAAACCAACTACTGCAATCAAAAAAATATATTTTGGTACAATACTGAAATATAAAATAATCATTTTCAGTAATTTTTAGGGATGTAACTTGGGCGGGTTAACTCAAATTCAACCTGAGTCCAACAAAAAAAAAACAGAACTTGGGGTAGAATTTTTAATATTTACGCTGGGTCTAGGCAAAAAAATTCAACCCGAATTGAATTCGGATAAGCCTTGAAATTGAGGCCACGAATTGTCGGGCTCAATCCGAATATTAAAATCGGGTTGAATACGAATATACATAAATATAAATATATTTAATTAGGGGTTAGTATTTATCTTCACTTTTCAGAGTTCAAACTTTCACTTCATTTCATGTCTTCACTCCTGCACCTCCATCATTCTCAGATCCCTCTCTTACTCGTCACTCGTTTCTCCCCTGGTCTCAGACTCTTAGTCCCCCTCTCAGCATCCTTCTCTCACTCGTATGAATCTTGTTGTAGACTCTCAGCCTCTTTCTGTCACTCGTCACTCTTCTCCCTTTTATCAACCCGAATTAAGTAATTCGAATTCAACCTGAGTCAACCCGAATTAAATTTAGACAATACTCGGGTTGAGATCAGCTTAGCGTTAGGATTAGAGTTGAAGATTATATACCTAAAACTAGACTAGGGTTAACCTCTAAATTTGTCTGAGTTGCACCCTTAACAATTTTACCATCCAATTGTATTTATAGAAATTATGACAAATTGAGAAATAAATTAGAATAAAAATATAAGAGGAGAGAAAAATATATATATTATCATAGTCCGACTTACTAGGCCCGCCCATAAACACATATGCAAACCAAGGTTTTGCGGGGACAGTCTATTTTTTATGATTAGTACGTTGATAATCTTTAACCATGAATCTTCTAGGAAGGCTTGATTTAACAGCTTTTAGTGAAAATAACTCTTACATTAGCTCTTGATCTAATGATAGATCTCAAGAAGACGAGTTCGAATTCATCATTCTCTGCTCACGTGCTAATGTCTGAACACCCCCCCCCCCCCCCCCCACACCAAAAAAAAAAAAAAGAAGCGAGAATACCACCACTTAAAGCGGAAGCCAACTATTGCAATCAAAAAAATAAATTTTGATACGATAATGAAATAAAAAATAATCATCTTCAATAATTTTACTATCTAATTGTATTTATAGAAATTACGATAAATTGAGAAATAAATTACAATAAAAAAAATGAGAGAAAAAAAAAGTTTCAAAACCACAATAATTTGGTGACATAACTCTTAAGAAGACAATTTTTAATCACTCTGTAAAGTAAGTTGTATAGGAGAAGTCCACATCGAATATTAAATTAAATCAAAACTCAACATCAACTTGAGAAATATCTAAAACTAGACATGAGTCCACGTCTTATCTCGGGGCATATACGACGACTATCTCATAATGCAAATTGACATGCCCTCACAAAGTCTCTTTAGACCGTGTATCTCCCCATCTTTGCTTGTACATTATAGGCAAATTACAGTTTCACCTCTTTAACTATGTCATTTTTGTTTTTTTTGCTATAGAGTATTCAAATTTGTGTTAACTATTCTCCCGAGTTCGAATATTGGTCACCGTAACTCGAACGGGTTTAAAACATATTTCCTGAGAAATAAGAATGACTGATCTTTAAGGCTATGAGAAAGTGTTGAATCTGAGACCTTCAGATATTTAAATATGTATTTTATTCTTTCATATGAGTAACTTATCAATTTTATAAAAAAAAAAAAAGAAAAAAAAATCAAAAAATACTTGAAATTATAATTCAATTAGGCCAATTATGATTCAAACAAGTTAAATTAAAACTCAATTGGATATACTTAAGATCGGCCCAAAATATTTATGGTCGGTCCAATTTTTTAAGGATTCATCCTAATTTTTTTTAAAACCATCGAGTTGTAAGTTGATCGATTGGAATTGAATTATAATTATATTTGAGATTTTTTTTTTTTTTTCCATTTTAGCCAAATCACCTAGGCATTTCATACGTAGACTCAAACGAAGCCGGTTTTGATGATATTGAGACAAACCTAAGCTCCTAGAAGAGTTCATAGATTTGCATAGAACTTTTTTTTTAACTTTTCCTTTTTTCCTAATGCGGGAATTTAAGGTTTTATGTAGTGTCTCCTGGGCAATCCCAAAGTGGACATTCCATAATGGACATTACTAATCACTCAAAAGTGGGCATCAACTACACTTTTCTTTATTGGGGCTTAGTTGAAATTCTTAACAACCTTCTTTACATACTTTGATGAGGTCAAGGGTTCCAATCTCTTGGGTGACAAAAGCATGGTTAATTAGTATGAAGAATTTCAATTGCTTAGATGAATTATATCCAAGTCTCTGGTGTAATTTTAAATTTCAAGCACAAATTTTGATTTAACTAGTGTATGAATTAAGAGACCGGTTTATGCATCTAGGGTTTGCCCTCGATTCTACTCGAACTCACGAACGACTAAGTCGCACCTATCTCACCGAGGACATGCTAGAGATTTTCCCCATCATCCAAATTTTTTTTCCAGATTAAAAACTTAATTGAGAATTATTTGACCTTAATGATAATTAACTTACCCATCTGAAAAAGTGCAATAGTTAATAGTGTTAATAAATTAGCATAAATATATTTATTTTTTGTATAAATTGAGAAACCTACATAAAATCTAGAGAAAGGAAAGACAGAAAAAGAAGATAATAAAAAATAAATAAAAGAATAATATGTTTTA